ACATAGCTGTCTTCTTCCACAAGTTAGTAATGTTTTTGCTGAGATTCTACCTTTGACTTGTGACTTTTTCTTTAATCGCTTTTATCTTTGTCAGTGAGCCTCATCCAATTTAGACAGCTCTCAAGAGCCTAGGGTTAGTTGCTCAATTCAATCACACAAGTACTTGGACTAGGGGGTAAAAGATTAAATAACTGTTAGGGCTGGCTAGGTCTTAAAGAGGCCAGAAACAGCCCCCTCCCATTCCTGTAAATGAGCAGCCTGTTGTTTTCGGCCACCCTTCTGCACACAAGACCATTACTGACTTCAGTGGGAATTCTGCCCAATGAGACTGGGTAAGATTAAATTAGTCCTAAATCCAGCACATTGTTCCAAATCATTACCAGTTCTCCAGGATCCTCTAAAGAATAAGATTATAGGATGTCCGATTGTGCTTCTCAAATTTAACTATAGAAATGATAACTAGAACCTACAGGTGACAAAAGCCTAGCTCTTTAAAAGTTGTGTCAAACTCGCATCCTGATGGATGTACTCATTTGGCCCTTATCACAATTCAAGATTGCACTGCCAAGCAGCCCCATCAAGGGCTGCATCAGCAATCCAGGGATTTCTCACAGCAATGAGCCTGAAAGGATTAAGCACTACTTGTTTCCCAGTAGAAACTGTTTCAAGCCTTAGAATTCTAAACGCACAGTCCTCGTGGCCAAGAAACTGCCTCAGTTTCTCTCACGCACAAAACGCTGGGGGAAATAGGACACCTATGACGATGCTAATTCTCTCTACAGGTTTATAAATTGATATGAGAAAATAGAAATGAGTTATGGTGAGAAAGGCGCAAAAACAAGAATAAGAATAAAAAGGCAACAGAAACAGGAATGAAGGAAAGACCACGAAAGCCATTTTTTTAAAAGCTTCTAGACACAGCATGCACATGGCGTTTCAAATGTTCGAGTTCAAGGTACTGTGGGAAAGGATGTGATGCGGAAAAGGGAAAATAGATCCACAGCTCCTCTCGATTCCACTACCAGGGCTCTTAAAAACAGGGGCAGCAGTGGTGCTTACGGGAGTGCAGATATGTAAATGGCGTCCTAGATCTGTTCAGAGACCCTCGCCCCAAAATTAAGAATTTAGGCAGGACTTCTACTCACGGGACCAAAAATCCTTGACCTCAAGGGAGGTCACCAATATAGAATTGCCTAATGATGGACGTTCCATCCCAGGCATCCAGATAACTGAGGGCAGTGTCTCCGCGGTAGGGGTCCACAGACGCCCAAGAGCCAGTGCCCCCGAGGGGCAAGTGCGACCACCCTTCCCTCTCGCAGGCTTAGTCTCTGGCTCACCTGGAAACGCTTCTACCCGGCCCCCAGGAGGAGAAAAGCAAGCGATCCGGGTGGGTGGAGGAACGGGAAGATGTGAGCACATAACGCGCGCCCCGCACCGCAGCTGCCCAGCCGCCAGCCGCGCTGCCCCGGACGGTTCCCGGGGCAATGGGGACACAGGCGCGCGGACGCTGGGGTCGCAGCTGCTGCTGACCCCGGACACCGCCCTCCCCGGGCTGCCCGCGGGCCCACGCCGCCCACACACGCGCCCCGGGCCGACGTGGGCCTCGGAAACGCGGCGTGCCCGCCGAGGTTCCTCCTCCCCAAACCACTCTCCCGAAGGGGAGCGCCGAGGCCGCCAGCCCGGAGCCCTCGAGCACATCGCGCGGCGCCGAGGGCGGGCGGCCGCTCCATCCCGGGAGCCGCTCGCGCGCCGCGGCCCGCGCCCGGGATGGAGCCCGAAGCCTCCGCCGGCTACTCCGCGGGGTCCCAGACGCGCGACCCAGGGGCCACGGCGCCGGGCCCAGGCGGCGCGGTCCTCACCAAGCCCCTATCCCTCCCGTCTGGTCCGCCGCCGGGGAGGGGAGAGGAGGAAACGGCCGCGGGGCGGGGAAGCCTGGAGCCGGCCTGGGGCAACAGCACCCAGACCGCAAAGTAAGAGTCGGGTCTGGCGGGGAGGGAACGAAAAAGGCAGGAAGGAGCCGCCGAAAATCCCCAAGACGCCGCTCGGCCCCCCAACCCCCACTCGGTGGGACCGTCCCGCCACAGCTTCCTGCCTGGGATCGGCTTCCCAGCTGCAGCTCGAGGAGAAATCAGAGCCGCCCCTGCAGCTTGGCAGGAACGAGGCGCTCGGCCCAGGCTCCGTCACCCCAGGCCCGCCATTCTGCAGTCCCCACACCTTCTTACCCCGACGCGCACCTCGGAAGCTCGGTCGACGCGGGGACCCGTCCCGTTTCGAGCCCCGGCCGCACGGCTGCCGCGTCTGTCTCTGCCCTCCTCTAGGTTTCAAATTGAAATTCCCTGGCTGGGGCCGTCAGAGGGCTCAGCGCGTCGGCCCCGCCCCCTCGCAGCGGAAGCTCCTCCTACGCCCCCGCCGGACGCGCCCCCGGTGCGGAAACCCCCGCGGGTCGCGCCACGCCCCTGCGCCTCCAGCCACGCCCCCAGGGGCTGGGCCACGCCCCGCGCTGGCGAGGTGCGGATCTTCCCGCGGGATTCGCCGCGCGCAGTGGCTCGGTGCCCGCGGTGGAAGAACGTTCACCCCTGCCACCCCCAGCATGACTCTTAAATAACGTGTCCTGGGCGTCCTCCCCCGTCAACCCCAGGCTGAAGCACCCTCTCAACTTTTAAGTTATTTCTTCAAAGACTAAACGTTTTATTGGGCGCCTCTTCGGTGGCAGACACGAGGCCAGGCCTTGGCGGGACAGAAATAGGCAGAGTAGGTCCCCTTCCGTCTACAGTAGGGCACTGAAAATGCCATTTGTTCTTCCTGCCGGGGACGCAGGCGGGTTTGGAGAAAACCCTGGGAGGACAGACCTAGTTTATACGGAACCCAAGCGATGAATAGCAGAGATCTGGAAAGCTGAGTTACAGCAGCAGAGCACATCCTAAGTGAAGAGGCGCAGGCCGAGTCTTAGAAAGCCACCAATGTGCACACACGTGCGGGAGCCTTCCGGTGCTTGGGCATAATTCGATCGCTGTTTCTCAGATGCGTATTTAATCTTAATGGTTACTTTTTGATTACTGCATCCATTTTATTGCCTCCAGCCACCTTCACTGCTCCTGAGGTCGCTGATGCCCCTCCGTCCTTTAAAGTCTTTTCTTTCAGAAACAACTTTTTTTTTTTTTGGGAGAAACATCACTTTTAAAAATAAAGTTAATGACCAGTGAAACGGAAACCTCAGCAGCAAGGCCTTAGTAGTGTATGTGTAGGATGCACTTTGGTTTACAAAACATTTTCACATAGTATACCATCTGATTCTCACAATAGCCCTCTGAAAAAGGCATTATCTCTAATTATAACAAGGAGAACATTAAGGGTCAAAAACAAGTTATTTGTTAAGGTTCTTCCAGTAAGTGATAAAAATAATAATGGCCAACATTTATTGTGTATCTTATGTACTGGGCAGTGTTCTAAATCACATATGTAACTCCTCTTAATCGCCTATGCTAAGTACTCCAGGTAAATTCAATACGGAACACGAAAATAGTGCACGCCTCATTAGATGGGAATTCTGAGGAACGAGTCATGTAAACCCCACAAGAAAATGCTATTATGAACTTAAAAAGAAAATTTACAGTAAAACAAATGAAACCTTAGCCTTCTCATTTACACAGGCCTTAAAAATAACTTATACTTGTAATTTTAAAGATATATATTTTATTAATGGAGAATCACTTAAGTCATATGAGCTTTGATATTGTTACATGCCCTTTCTTGAAACACCA